GTTCATCCTCCATATGGGTCTTATTCCCAAAGTAATCCCTCTTATGTTTTTGTGGAGGATGGAAAAACGTGTAAAACCGCAAGGGCTGTCCACGTGAGCAAAATTGTCAATTTTTAGAAAACAAAACTGGGAGAAATCTATAACCTTCATCATCTCTTGTGAGAAAAGCTAACAATTTCCCACTAGCAAAAAGGCGGAAAAACAAAACGTTAGTTTACCCTGAAAAATAACACGAACTAAAAGAAAAAAATCGAATGTTAAAGGAAAATCTCCTAATGTCGACCCTCTTGAGTAGTCCAGTAGTTGTTAAGATTGTTGTTAATATTTCAATACTCTTCACAGGGCACTCGCAATGGATGGAGTCGATATCAGTGTGACCGGGCATTCAAACGCGACATGGACAGGCTGTGCCAGAGCCTGAACTGGGTCCAAAAGCCCTTCTGTAGGGCGGCTGCTCTGGATTATTACAACGCAGTTCGTCTCTTTGGTTGGAATTACTACGATAACCCTTCCCTGTGGTGGTGCAAATACTGCCCAAAGAGCAATGGTAATCCCTACAGCGCCCTTGGACGTTAGACAGACACAAATACGAAGATGAAGATATTCCAAACAACAGAGGCATTCTTAGAGTAGAAAAACTGACATGTAATCAATGGTAGAGCCACTAGCTGATAATAAAGCTGTCGACAAATTCAATTAAATGTTGTGTTGTAAATGAACGAAAGGGTAGCCAGTGAAACAACGAAAACACTGAGCTTGGATTGTTGTTACCAAAACGTTAACACGACTTTCCGCGATGCGAAACTTATTTCTCCCAAACTAATCGACACAAGTTCATTCGTGCAGTAGATGGGAATCAAAACTATCCCATCTTAATTTTTCCATGCTTGAGGACATCATTGGACACAAGCCAATAGTGTTTAGGTCGAGAAGAAGACGAAGAATCAATGCAAAAACTATGTAAAGATGTTTTGAGGAAGTTATGTTTTGAAAGATTGCTACGTTATTTCAAGTGTTTTAAAGATTACTTAAAACTTGTCATACCGTTGGAAAAAAAGGCCGCTTGTGACGTTCAGTGTCAAACAATGGAGGAAACTGTTGAAGCATTTAATAGGCATTTCCATCAATACCTCTGAGACGAAAACTGCCATACGTATCGATAACATTGTTTTATTATTATTATTTTTTCTTTCTCCACTCGTTTTTACTGACCAGACTTTTCAATATATCCTTCCCTTCCCGGATGAAATGGCAGTCCAACACAGATTCGTTTCCAGCAATTCCTTAAGTGGCTCCTAAACAACGAAATTCCAACTTCTTCCCTGACTCTTAAAATGGTATCTATTCTCTTCTACCTCAAAGTCTTCGAGTTACGTCAGAGTACAAATAACCGATACTCTTTTATACAACTGGCGTAGGCTTATCTCATCAGATGGTCAGAAATGTAGCAGCTCTAGTAAGAAGTTCCATTTAGACTGTCTTCCTTTGGAATGATCCGTATCTGGATCCAAGATTACTCGGATCATCAGGCATCAAAGGAGCCGATGAATCCAGGCTCTGGGTAAGGATTCGTTGATTAGTTCATTGAAGCACCATGATCTGAGGGTTCTTGGATTATTAATTCTGATTGAGATCATTCATTCCAAGGCAATTAAAGCATCCTGGCTCCTACTCAGTAGAGCCTGCACCAGACTCCACCAGGGGGCTTTCACTTACTTTTAAATTCTGAAAATTGACGGGGTGGTTCATGTCTATCCGGTGACAGATCAGTCAGCGACCCCTCCCGCTACAAAGTCCTAGCATCTCATCATGCCTACCACAATTCGATAGTAGGAAATGGGGCTCACCGAGCTCGTTTTTGAGTTATAAGCGCTGGAAGCTATAAAATTAAAGGTGTTTTTAACTGGTCATCCTATTGCTAGCTTAACTTATTGTGCCACGAAATTGAAACGAACATGTTCACCAATGATTGGGCAGTTTTTGATACCACTGATTGTGACATAAACCGATACAGTGTGCTTATAATGACCATCAAAATCTATGTCTTGGAAAAAGTGCTGGAAACTGTTTTGAGCCACCTTAAGTTTACGTGAAGTAGTAGTTTTGTCCAAAATATTTCGTTACCCGTTCGCTGCCTTAATTTTCGTGAAACACGCCCACGTCACCAGTATGGTCATCTTTGACTCTAACCTCACTTCTCTCTCTCAAATGATCAAAAACTGGCACTCAAAGAAACTCATCTAATTTAGCACGCTGAGGCATAGAAAATATCTCCATGCGTGAAGAGCACTAGTTTAAACTCGATGGGTTGAGACCTCAACGCTAGTATGCTATTCGACACCTTGACTGACTTCTTTCAATATTCAACAGGATTTCACATAAAGTCCAGCATTAGGAATTTGGTTTGTATACACCGGCTTTTCGTTTTCACGTGGACGGAAAACATTTTGAAACCGGAGCTTCACGAAAACGATAGCGTTATGTGATTTCCCTGACCGAGTTTCCTCAACCACAAATCCAAAATGACCGGTGATTGTTGCGTTTTCAAATTCCCCCAGCGTAGTGTGGACGGCAAACATTAATTGCGTTTTCAGAGTGAAACTTCCGTTTTTCCGTTTTTCCGTTTTCCCGTTTTCGAGACCAGTAAATTAATCTCACAACCTTTTTTTCTGTGACGATTTAATTTCTGGACATTTGAATTTGTTACTGTTTTGACATTATAAACTTCCTTGACGATTTTTTGGCAAATTGCGTTTTAAGAAAGAACAAAAAGCTGCATGTGTAATTTATGCAAATTATCTACATTTACCATTATATTTTACCTGGAATTTATATGTTGGTAAGGATCACTTTAAGCGTTAATTACTTGGCGTAGCCTGATTTCTGTTGCAAATTTTTATAACTAAACAAAACACAAGCAAAGCGCCATTTTGAAATTATGCAAATGAATGGCGATTGATTTTAAAATATTACCGTTTCCCCTTTGTAATCACTTGGGCTATATGAAGATGTTATTGGCTGTTATAAAATTTTTCTGTTGCAATTTGTCCAAGGTCTAAGCACAAAGTGGCCGGACTTTAGTGCTAATTTGACAACTGCGCATCTTGAGAAATCAATCTGCAAGGTTTACAAACTATTATACACTTAGCCTTTTCTCTTTTTCGTGACATGTATATCTGTATATGAGAAATACTAATATATCAACTTGGTTTGTTGCTTGTCAAATAATTACCTGAAAATCGTATTCACAAGACAAAAGATTTCAAAAATAACCCTAAAGGACAAGGGATGTAATATTTAAGTAATAGGCCATATTCATATTCTGGAACCAGCTTGCAATGGAGGCTTATGCGATTTGCATTTCAAAAGACTTACCGCATTAGCCTCGGTTGCAAGCTAGTTCCAGTCCAAAAC